GGCTCGTGGTTAGGTCTACCATGGGTTCCAGGATCAACGCTGACGTTTCCTCGTACTCACTCTATTGATACTTGTACGTATCAGGAGGACATTCATCACCTCGGAGGACGTTACTTCCTCTCTGCTAGAGCACAAACTATCAAATTCTCTACTGGTCCACTCAAAATGTCTCCATTGGCAATCTATCACATCCCTTGCAACGTCACTTCTGACGACTTACCAACGGGATTTGGTGTTTGTCCTTCCGTTCTCTCCATAACCTTCCCTATCTTTAGAAGGAAGAGAGTCAAATTTGTTCCTTGGACTCCATCCGAGAACAATGCAACGTTGAATCTTCACTTCAAATCTTTGAACATCCCACCTCCGTTGAAATTTAATAAATCTGTAACAAAGGCTTTGGATGAAACATTCAAACGTCTAGATGGAGAATTCACGGCAAAACTCCGACGCGTTCGGGCTGATATCAAACAGATCCACACCGTGAATGTTACTCCTACTGCTACAATCCTCGCTTCAATCGTCTTGGTTTTCTCCATGATTAACATTCTTGTGCTTGCTACCATCTGTTGTTATCAATACCGCTATAAAGGTGATCAATTTTCACTAATCCATCTGACACAACCAGATCCCACGCGCCTATCTGAACCACAAGACGTCGAGGTACAGCACAGCGACCAAGTCATCCCTTGTCCAGATTGTGGAAGTACCTCCGACGTCGACATCCAATAGTACATCCAACCAGCTTACAAATCACGACCTTTCCTCATGTCAGCCACCCCCTTTTGCGTGATTTGCTTGGAGGAGACTCCGGACCTCACCTGTCTACCATATTGTGGGCGATCCCATAATAACAACGTCGCCGACGATACCTGTTTACTGGCGTGGCTTTCTAGACGAACAGAACAAACCTGTCCAGTTTGCCGGACAAGGCTTGATTTTACTCATTCTGAAGACGATCTTCAGAATATTCGTCAGCCCTTTTTAGAGTACGGCCATCCCCGGGGCCACCGGATAGCCAGTTAGAAGACTGGGACTTAGACGCGGACGCCCCCCCCCCTTCATCCCGGACTCCAATAATTATATTCTCATCCACCCTCCTTTGTCCTCTGAAGAGTTCGGAGACTTTTTTGATTTCGAAGATCGTCTCCGGAATTGATACCTATATTTTTTCTCTCTTATTTATTGTATATTGCATGTTGCATGTTGCATGCTACTTAACGACCATTTTCAGATTTTTTTATACATCCAAAATTTTTAGGGTAATGGTTATGGGTTTTTATTCC